GAACACACAAAAATATTCTCTTAAAACCCTCAGAAGGGGGCCACCCCCCCCCCCCGCCCCGCCCCCCCCCAAACAAAGCCCCCCCCACACCCCCCCCCCCCCCCCCAGCCGCTCAACCCGACATAAAAATCAAGATAGCCAAAAGTACTAGAGTCTAACCGTGAAATATAAAACATCTAAGATAAGCCGCAACTAAGAACCATTTTAATCTCCTCGTTAACGATTCGGTCACAAATGCTCATAGCAAGGAAGGAACAGCAGTTGGTTCCATCATTTTCTTGCGTCTGGGCTGAACTTTGGTTCACGGACAAGTTCACCAAACGTAGAGATGCTTCTGGCTGATTTCTATCGAGGAGCCTCAGAGCTTCAGCTGGAGTCGGTCTTTATCTTGGGTCATATTTCGCGCATAACTTGAATACTTCTTCAATTTGCCACCGCTGAGTTATCCTGAAATACTCATATTTATTGTCGTGACACGGTAGTTCTTGTCGTTTCAAGAAATCTGTCAGAGCCTTGTCGGAGAATGAAATACCAGACCGTTCAAATTCAGCCGAATATAGATGGGTAAGGTTGGGATTGATAATGGCAAACATCATAAGCCCTAAAGACCAAATGTCGGCCTTCTTTAGGTCTTCCTGGCCAGCGAAACGGAGGTTTTCTAAATAGATCTCGGGTGCCATAAATACAGGAGTACCACGGCAAGTTGATTCAGTCCTCGTCTGCAGGAATGAGGTTGTCTGCATGTCTGGAGATCTGCTCAGACCAAAATCTGCAAGTTTGCGGACAATGGGGCACTCAGCGTACACTTTAGCCCAGTCACCATCCATTGTGATATAATGTTGATTGGAAACCAGAGTATTTCCAAGTTTTAGGTCTCTATGGGCTATGTTGTGGCTATGAAGATAATCTAGTCCAGTTACAACATCCCTTGCGCATAACAACAACACATCTGAGAAAGACTCGAACTCGAACTCGGCATCAATGAAATGAATGAAATCCTCAAGAGAACTCACTTTCTTGTCAACTTCAAGAAAATTGAAGTCGAAACACGAGTACTCCATCATAATGGCGTACGGTTCTTGACAAAATTTCAGGAATTCACACACATTTCTGTGGCCCTTTACCGTGTTAAGTATTGCAGCCTCTTTCTCAAATCTTCGTTTAGCCTCGGCCGACTCGAGTGAATCCATTCTCTGAGTCAAGTCTGAGCCCGAGTCAGGTCGAGTCACAGGTCAGCGGTATACCTTTTTTCAGTCAGACCACGAGGTCTTCGTCCATCAGAATGGCGAATGGTAAGTGCGAATTTTTTCAAATCATATGTATATATTCAATGAGTTTACAATGATTACATATGCGTAAGCACTGTTCTTTTCACCTAAATTAGTAACAGACATTTTTTTGACTTTGATTTCTGTGAAGATATAAAGGGCAGAGAGGAAGAGCTCAACCTCGAGGTGAGATCAAGTCTTTTGTGTCTTACGAGCTTTCCTCCAACGACGTTATGTCAGTAATTTTTTTACTCTCTACTCTACAGCTCCCCGAATATGTGG